CATTTTGTTTGGAATAGTAGAATTATGGTATTTGCTCTACTTAAGGGTGCTGTGCTGTGTGAGAAAAAGATTTTTTGCCTTGTTTTTATGAGGTCTACTTTTGTGAATTACAACTTAAGTTTGTGTAAAAAGAGAATGTGGTGGAAGTATTTTTTATACACTCCATCTTGGTTTGGTTTGATTATCCCTATTGATTTTGTAGTATTCTTGTTGAAGGCATTATTACGGTGATTTTGAACCTTCAACGCCCCAAGCCTTTCACTCAGACTCGTACTGAAGTTTCCAAATTCAGGCTTTATCATGCTAGCATAACTTGTGAGTTCTTCTGATCAATTTAAAGCGTGAATTAATTGTTAGTTGTTAGTGATGCATACTTCATTGAAATTGAATATGTACTTTCATACACAACTTTAAAACATGATATACATAAAATTATAAATCCAAAATACACAAATTAACAAGTACAACTTCTTTGCAAACCAAATTCCTAAATATTGCACTCCCTAAAATAAGGTCACGGTATATCATATCATATCATATAACCATAATATGATCAAATACCTCTCCCAACAAATGCCTAATCATTTTCCATACGAGCTCAACGAAACGTAGTTCTCAACAAAAGGGGATAACTTGGCCACCCGATGAGTATGGATACTCGATAGGTTATTCGCCTTGCTCCTTGCGCTATCAAAGACCATCATATCAGCCCCCAACTGTAGATAAGTAAATTAATTTCATTATTTTTTTAGGAACATTGCAAATAAAAAATAGGACTAGTTAAAACCTGTGTGTAGCAATCAATGGCCACCCTGAAATCTTTATGCCCGAAAACCAAATCTCCCTTCTTCTCAGAGTTCAGTGTGTCCTGCATGTGATTCGTCCACATCTGGAATGAAAGCTGCAGAACTCAACCAATTAGTTATTGGTAGACCATAATTCTCACACGTCTTCAAAAATAGATTGAACAAATGTACTATGGCATAAGAAAAGAGAGTTCCTTCTTGAGACAAGGATTAACCACAAATATATAACAAACTCACAGCTAGGATTAGGACAAGAGAGATTATCGCACTAACTATTAGAATTTGCACGTGTAGACACACTCTATGAAATGAAGTTATGGATATAATATATTGAAATTAATATGAGCTAGCAATGGAACTTCTTGAGTAAGACAAGAGAATAAAAGAACCTCAGTCGTGGCTCCCTCATCATCTTTGTAACCAAGTTTTTCCAAAATCTCGTGTATGGCAGTCAAGTCCTTTCTAAGGCATGCTTCACCAAGAGGAGACAGACAAAATCTCTCCACCGTGAGGAATGCCCATTAAAATGTGAGAAGGTACCTGAAAAAGAAGTCCAAGAAATGATACCAGAAAATGGTGTCCATATGTCTACTAAGCAACAATACATCTCTCTGGGTACATGTAGGGAATTTGAAACCGAACTCCACAATTTGAGTATATAGGTAAGACAAAAATTTAATTATCTTTAGTTTTAAGTCATCAACTTTATGAACTGAACATCCCTGCTAACCGAATGAGTAATACAAATATCTCATCTGAGAGAGATTCCATATGCAGACAAATCAGACCCAATATTCCAACCAACTCTCATTCGATGTTAAAAGAAGAAGCAGAGCAGAACCCACTATGATTCGGACACAAACGACGGAAATAACCGAACCCACAAAAAAATCTTAAACCAAATGTGTTTTTAGAAAATTGATAATGTCGCATCTGTGTTAGTTTGATGCAACTGAAAGGGAGAAGAGTATGGAAACACAAATCAAAAGGGACAAAGATGCAAATTACTTTATAGCTTCATCATAAAAAAAAAAAAAATAAAAAAAAAATCTTTTTTCAGTAGTACGAACCTCAGTTTCCTTCTGAAGAGGAATCAATGCACAAACTACGGATTTTGGATTTGGTCTCTCACGTGGTTCATACTGTAAACATCTTGAAGCAAGACGAACTAACTCAGTCCCATCATCATTGAAAAATTGGCCTTCCAAGCAAGAATCGGTCAATGTTACAAGGACAACAAGTTCTTAGCAAACACCAAATACCTTCCTAAATATTGCACTTCCCATAAAGAAAAGAAAGATAAAGTAACATCATATCATATAAAAGCCATAGTATAATCAAATAGGCCTCTCCCAAATCCCAACCATCTCTAATCATTTTCCATACGAGCTCAACGAAACATAGTTCTCAACAAAAGGGAATATCTTGCCCACCCTATGAGTACAGACATTCGATATGTTCCTCACCTTATTCATTGCACAATCTTGGACCATCAGATCACCCCCCAATCCCAACTGTTGATAAAACAACTTATCATTCTCAAAGAGGCCCATAAAACTACGCATCTTATAGACGAGAAATGTGGACTCTAGGTGCCACAACAAACTGGCGTCGTCCCATACCCAAAGTTCGAAACCATTATACTTCATGTCGTCTACAAACACAGAAGTCGAAGCCAAAAAACCGAGCGAGCCCCAATATTCAACGAGCCTCTTATGAAAAAATTTATATTCATTGAACTTGTGGCTAGGGGGCATAGGAACACGATATGAATCAAACTTCTCCGTAGCAAAGTCAAAAGACTGGATAAAATTGTCGTCTACGTTATTTAACCAGTAATAAGTGCCATTTGCGTAAATTTTTGCGAATGGATCACCGTACAGATGGAAGCTAAAAGGATGAAAGTCGACTTGTTTCCATGAGTTAGTCTTTGAGAGAATATAATTCGGCCACGGCTAGGCACTTCAAATCAGATCTTTTAAGAAATCTTATCACCTTGTAGTCGTTAGATGTGGAATCATACCCAAAACCAAATTGTGGATACTCTTCTCATACCTGTTATTTCACATGATAGAACATAAATGTTTTAAAACATGATATACTTCCAAATTCTTCTAAAAAAAACAATACAAGAAATGAAAAGTTAAACTAGAAAGAATTGTCCAACCACAATCAAATACAAAAATATGTGGATCACGTTAAGTTATATTGAACTTAGCATTAAAATTAAAAAACTTACACTCTATAACATTAGAGTTGACTACTACCAAAGCTTTGATTGAGGAGCCTTAGGCTCGCTTTGTTATAAAGCATTTCCATCAAACCCTTCGAAGAGTAAGGACAAAGTTTCCCTTCGAGGAGTAAGGCTCCTCTATCAATCAAATTATTAGATGTAATAGCTTTTCTATCAAAGCCTTTGAAGAGTAAGACACGTCTATCGAAACCTTCAAAGCCAAACCTTCGAATAGTCTTTCATAAGACTTGATAGTAGTCAACTGTAATGTAACTTAATTTGATTCGCATATTTTTGCAATGGCCCATTAAACTGCCATTAGACTTGAAATGGTCTAGCGGCACGCGCACTTGGCATTTAGACACTGTTCAGATTAGATTATCTCTATCCTGCCTGCCATTTTGAATGTTAAATGAGAACAACAATAAATATTTTAAACCATTATAGTACCTCGGGTCCAAGGTTGCGGGAGATGTAGGAAGGATTTTGAGTTCGTTGGTTGTCGGATTCCAAAGAGCCTCCTGGGGAATGTCGGGATCTTTGCCCCAAATGTTATCATACAAAAGTAAAATCAAACCATTGCACGAATCATATGGATGAAAGACACGGTCAGGAAAGGGATTATCGATCTCATTTAATATTATGGGCTGGGCAGCATATTCTCTTTGTCTATTGAAACTACCACATAATCCAAGTCTTCTATCCTTGGGTACTCCCACATAATAAAGTTGCTCCTCCTCTTCGATTGAAACGAACTTGTATGCAACCAATTGTCATGAGTAATAGAGAAAGTTCTACACAAATTTAACTTACTCTTATTATTCTTCTTCCAACGGATGGGGAAAGATGAAGGTTTGAATAACGGGTTCTTCTTCGAACCGACGAGGAAAGATGAAGGTTTGAATAAGGGGTTTGGGTTAAGAATCACCGACGCCATCTCTATCGAACAGGAAGGAACACTCCTCTATGTATCACGCGCCGGAACACTCCTAGCGCAGGCAGTAACCAAAATCTTATCTCTACCCGGACAGAAATAGTACTCCATCTCTCTGCATATAACGCGCAGAGCATAACCTAAAATCTTATTTGGGCCTGTTTCATTACATGGCCCAGTATATCCTTCTTAATCATGTATTTATTTTTCTTTTCTTTTTTTAAAAGACAATCCTTCAAATTTTGAAAATCTTAATTCACCTTTTAACTGATGTCTATTATGCCCACTTTTAAAATTATTATGCTGTTATAGGCGTTATGTATTATCAATAATGCTAAGGAGCCAACAATTCGCTCCATATCATTGTCATTGCTGTATGTATTATGCCCAGTTTTGTTAAAAATATTATGTTATCACACTGTAATTTATGCAGCCCTACATTTTTTTAACCGCCCCCTGATGTTGGATTTCTGTGGTAGTCCATCAAATATAAGCTTTAGCTTCTCAGATTGGGCTAATAAATCCAATATCTTAACGAGAGATGCTACGGTCCCTAATATTGTTACTTTACACCAGTGGTTGGGGAATATAGCTCAACTAGTACAGTTGCCCGTGCAAATGCACGGGAGCTACAAAAAAAAAAAGTCATTAAACATTTGCAATTCATACAAATTCATAACGATTAAATATTATTGAACAATTCTTTATATACAATGTTCTTCATCTTTGAGCTGTTTTTATCATCACAAATTAATATTTTCTATCATTTCTCATTTGTAACTCCTGAAACAGCGACGTAAAGTTGGTCGTGCGTAAATACAGAGTTCTTATGACATCCATATAAATTCATCCTCAATAACTAAAATATATATTTTATTTTTGATATGCATAAGATATATAATTACCGATCAATAATAAGTCCTTACAAACGGAGCCTTTAGCCAAATCGGTAAAATTTTTTAAGTTATATATAAACTTCGGGAAATTTTTATTTGAAGTTTCACCATAAAATTTTTCTTCAATCTTGCCATAGTAGTTTTATCAATTCTCAATAACGGTATTTCGATCTTGAAAGCAGTCCTTTCATAATATCGCATCACACGGACTTTGACACTCCATTCTATTTTTTATACCTTCTTTAGAAGTGTGTAAGCAATTGTTTGAATAAGATGTGAATGTGATGGTACATAAATGAATAATCAATTGCGTATTTATAAACTACAACATATAAATATCTTACTAAATAAAAAATGCTTTGCCGTTGACGTAACTATTCAAGCCACTAACAATGTAACTTACAAACGTGTGTTAACTTCTATCCGACTTTAACTTCCAAACTGACTTTCATGCTTTTAGGGCGTATTTTTAACATCTAACACTTTCATGGTTCTTAAGGTATATTTTTAACATCTAACCAAACTTAAAATGTGTGTTAACTTCTATCTGACTTTAATTTTCAAACTGACATCTGACTTTAATTTTTCAAACTGGCTTTCATGGTTTTAGGGGTGTATTTTTAACTTCCATATGTTAGACTGCTGTTAATACTTATATTTTTAAAAATAAAAATCTTATGATCGTATTTTATTTTGAACTTTGTTTAGTGTTGTTAAGTATGTTTGACTTATTTAGGTATTAAAAAATAAAATATTTTATGAACATAAATTTATAAGTCTAAAATAATTAACTACCTACCATTTAACATTTAAGTCATATTTTTATGTTATCGCGATATTACCAATAAATACAAAAGGTATTTACGAAATACTCTTTATTTATATTATGTAATCTAATATTTATTACATATATTGCATATTGCTTATATATATATATTTGTTTAATTGATTAATTTAATACAACTTCACTTTCATGGTTTTTGGGATGTATTTTTAACGTGTAACATAACTTACAAACCGTGTTATAACACGTGTAAAAGAATGTGAAAATTTTCCAGTAAGAGTGTGGTAGGACCCACATAAAACTTTCTAAAAATGGCAAATGTGTTGCCTAATTATATAGTAGATAGATTTATAAACTACAACATATAAATATCTTACTAAATAAAAAATGCTTTGCCGTTGACGTAACTATTCAAGCCACTAACAATGTAACTTACAAACGTGTGTTAACTTCTATCCGACTTTAACTTCCAAACTGACTTTCATGCTTTTAGGGCGTATTTTTAACATCTAACACTTTCATGGTTCTTAAGGTATATTTTTAACATCTAACCAAACTTAAAATGTGTGTTAACTTCTATCTGACTTTAATTTTCAAACTGACATCTGACTTTAATTTCTCAAACTGGCTTTCATGGTTTTAGGGGTGTATTTTTAACTTCCATATGTTAGACTGCTGTTAATACTTATATTTTTAAAAATAAAAATCTTATGATCGTATTTTATTTTGAACTTTGTTTAGTATTGTTAAGTATGTTTGACTTATTTAGGTATTAAAAAATAAAATATTTTATGAACATAAATTTATAAGTCTAAAATAATTAACTACCTACCATTTAACATTTAAGTCATATTTTTATGTTATCGCGATATTACCAATAAATACAAAAGGTATTTACGAAATACTCTTTATTTATATTATGTAATCTAATATTTATTACATATATTGCATATTGCTTATATATATATATTTGTTTAATTGATTAATTTAATACAACTTCACTTTCATGGTTTTTGGGATGTATTTTTAACGTGTAACATAACTTACAAACCGTGTTATAACACGTGTAAAAGAATGTGAAAATTTTCCAGTAAGAGTGTGGTAGGACCCACATAAAACTTTCTAAAAATGGCAAATGTGTTGCCTAATTATATAGTAGATAGATTTATAAACTACAACATATAAATATCTTACTAAATAAAAAATGCTTTGCCGTTGACGTAACTATTCAAGCCACTAACAATGTAACTTACAAACGTGTGTTAACTTCTATCCGACTTTAACTTCCAAACTGACTTTCATGCTTTTAGGGCGTATTTTTAACATCTAACACTTTCATGGTTCTTAAGGTATATTTTTAACATCTAACCAAACTTAAAATGTGTGTTAACTTCTATCTGACTTTAATTTTCAAACTATGATCAGAAGAAGGGATAGCATAAACCCATCAATCTTTTGACTCTCGATCCAATCAAGAACCCTAAAGATCCATAACAAATGTTCTCTTGGACTTCACCTGAAATTAAGAGCACAATGGAAAAAATCATAAGGTTCAACCTACGGACAAAAAGATTATTACAATCGATTTGTATCCAATGGAATTGGTAAATACAAACTTCAAGGGTATTTGTGTTTTAGCAACTCTGCATAGTGTTTTAAAATGTTTAACTGTTTAAGGCAATTAATTATTTTTTTCAAAATCAAACTAAACTTAAGCTGGTAAAATTAATTGATAAGCTAGTTGATAAATGACAAGCTAGCTTATAGCTTAAAAGTGAGTGATTTTCGATCTTATACCTTATGACTTATAGTTGAAAGCTAGCTTATATCATAAACAGAGTGGTAAAATTAGCTGATAAGTTAACTGAAATAAAAATTTCAAAGAGCTTATTTTAAAAACCATCAAAGAAGCTTATGAGATAAGCTCAAACTTTTAAAAAAAGTTTGTACTACCAAACAAAACTTATTTGAATACAGAAATATTATAAGTTAGCTAAATAAGTTATAAGCTAGCTTATTTCGTTACACTAATCGAACACCAATTTGGTATATGAATGCAGAAAATGTGCTACACCATATTCTTTAAACAAAAATGCATATATATTATCAAATATCATACTTTTTGTTTAAATTGATTTTTTAAAAGTACAACATTTTCAATGAAATTATTCACTACCAAATGTAATATTAGCAGTGTTCAACAACCATACACAGGGCAATAACAATGCCCTCACAAGAAAGGGAAAAACAACGGATAAGAACCAATCTCTGCATTTAATGGAGTATTCATGGAGTGCTTTGACTGCCCAAAAACAGAGGAACCCACACAAAATCGGGTAAATCACACTTCTGCACAATTTTTTTAAAAGAAATAAATAAATAACCAAACAAATGCAAACCAAACCCGTAATTCAATTTAGGGCAAATGAATAGATTAATTAATAGATCTTTTCCCTTTTTCTAATAAACAAAGATGAAAATCGTGTGTACCGTGTGAATGAATATTCTGAGATCCAATCGAGAAGAAAATCGTGTGTACCGTGTGATTCGCGGCGGCCAAAAACCGGTCATCACTCATCCTTTCTCCGAGAACTGCTCCTCCAGAAACCGTCCCCGAACCGGCCCCACACCTCATTGTCCCACTCAACGGCGTCGTTTGACCCCTTTCCATCCTTCTCTTCCTCCTCGTCCTCATCCTCCTCTCCATCGCCGCCGCATGGTAACCCTGACGATTCGATTCTCCTCTGATCATCCTTTTCCTCCGGCGAATTCCTCCTCCTCTTCTTCAGTAGGCTCCTCCTCTTCTTCTTCCGCCAGATGCCCCTCGGGAGGTGGTACACGGCGAGGATCAGGAGGTGCGCCGCGGCGCACGGGCAGCAGCAGCACACCGCCGCGCACTCCCCCGCCGTCTCCCCCACCCTGCTCCTCCGTCGGCGACCGTTTCCGGCGTCCTTCTCCGCCGGGAGGAGCCGCTGGCGCCGGGCAGCGGAGCCCGACGGCGACTCTACGGCGATCTCTCTGGACATTGGCGGGTGCGGAAGGCGGCGCGGGTGGAGGGGATTTTGGGTGGCGGCGAGCAGCTTGGTTTCATTAAGGGGAAGATGGAAATCTGATAAAGCTCCTGATCGAATCTTTTGGGATTGATATTCGGTAACTGAAAGGAGAGAGAAAAAGAGATTTTTGCAGTATGAGGAATTGTGATTTGCGAACAGCGAATGGCTAGCAAATAATAGAAAGGAAAATACCTTTTTCTCTATTATTTTAGTATTATTATTATTATTATTATTATTTATTTTATTTTTTTGTGGATGTCAATGAACAATGTAATCTGTCAATTTCTCGACATATGATCAAGAACATAAATATTTATGGGGCATTATACCATAAAAGTGATTTTATCCAATTGTCAAGCCCTAAAAAAAAATAAGAAATAAAGAAAATGTACAAGAATGTTAGGGATAAGAAAAATTAAGAACATGTTTGTTTATGGAAATTTTGTTTTGTTTGAATTTTTTTGTTTGGTTTCGTTAATTTTGAAAAAAATGGTACGGTTAGGTATAAGTGTGTATATTAAAATAATATTTTAAAATAAAATCATTAAAATTGATTTGATGTAAAAGTAATAGATGAATGATTTGAAGTGATAGTTAGTTAAAATAATGTGAGTGAATGAACAGCGAATTAAGGTTGATGTGGTGTGTGAATGATTTGCTTGATATAATTTGACTATATTGATAATATTGATGATAATAAAATTGAGTTAAATTTGAATTAAAAAAAGTGGTTGAGTTAAAATGTTGTAAAATTTTTACAACATTGAGGCCGAATTGAGTGGGTTATAGTCAGTGTTTTCAATACCGTCCATACTGGCCGGTAGTACCGGATACCGGCCATTGGTACGGTACAATTGTACACAGAATACCGGATTTACGGTTACCGGTTTGTACCGGGGTCATACCGACTGAAAAAAACTGGTCCAAAATATTGGTCATAAAAAAAAATTAAAAAAAATATTAATTTAAAAACATAAAATTTAAATTGGTAGTTAGAATATTTTATTTTTATCTCATTGGTAAGTTAAAATTAATGATTATGGTCATTTATTTTTTTTTTTACTTTTTTGCATTTGGTATAATACATTTTTATATATAAATATATATATTATTATATTTGCTAATCCGGTAATACCATCGATATTACCGGTCCTACCGCGTACCGGTGGCTAGACCGATATGACTACCGGTACGATATTTAAAACACTGGTTGTAGTCATAATTTAGGCCGAATTGCATAAACTATGTAAACTGTCAACCAAATAAAATTGAATTGCACAAACTATGTAAACTGTCAACCAAATAAAATTATGAAATTTAACAAATTGAAATTAACAATTCTAGAACTAAACTAATAAAAACCAGAACAATAATAAAAAAAAAATGAAAAAAGGCAATCAAACAACCAAACATCGTCAGATATATATGGATAAATATGAGGGTGACCTGACGAGTGACGACACATTGTACTAATGTACTTGGGATTAAAATTAAATGAAAATTACGAAAGTAGCATTTTGGGTCACAATTATGAAACCTGGTCCCCTATAGATGTCGTTTTCTAAAGATTTTACTTTGGATGTCATGCATCATTTTTCTAAACTTTTTACTCTACTCAAATGCTAGTGCAACACCATAATTGATTATATGATGTGCTAGTTAAAAAAATATATATATATATTAAAATTCTTAAAAATTATATAAGATATATAATTTGATTTAAATTTTAAATACATTATAAAAAATCATTAAAATGATTTTTTCACTCATATGATATGTCCGTTTTATATTATAATATTTTTTTCCAATTCATATGTATTGAGCTTATAGATGGTTTTTTTTCAAAACGGTAGAGGAAACTTATAGATAATTGAACTAACAAAAAGTGTTATTATTTTTTATTAATGTTAACAGATCATTCAGTTTTATAACAAAAACAAAGTAAAATTGTAAATTCATTTTACATATGCTATGTGGATATCAAATACGAGCACGTAAAAAAATAAATAATTTGAGATATTATATTTGATAACAAATACAAAAATTATTAATTGTTTATAATTTAAGTTACTCAACAATTTTACAATAAAATGTATTTATAATTTAAGTTAGTCAAGTATTTTATGGATGGAATTCATACTTACACGCTACTTGGAATCTTAATGAATATAATTTTCAAACTTTTTATTTTTAAAAAAATATGGAAAATTTTATATTTTAAGCTTTAAATCATCTACACAAACTTAGATTATTAATGAGTGTAAATTTTTTTATTTTTATTGGTCATTGGATTATCAGATTTTATGGCTACTATCTATTCTTATTTATGTAACAGAGTCCATTCTCACTTGAACCCTCAACTCATTTATATATATATATATATATAAACTAAAAAAATTGCATATGATACCACATCAGTCTGTTTTGTTTGTTGATACCCAATTTGACTGCGATTGATCAAAGAGCGACAGGTGGCAAAATAAACATGGGGTAAAATATGTAGTAAATAAATATATAAGTAACAAGTCCTCCAAGCTGATCATTTAATATCGACCGACTCCTCAAACGTCAAGATCGTCTACATCTGAGTCGAGCAGAATTTAATATCACCAGCCCGACCCGAATACAGTAAAGAAGCCGTCTTCCGAGGACGCACACTACCGACAAGACAGATGCCTATCGAAGTCGTCAAGTATCATAATTGGGCCCCACGCAGTCACACTACATTAAAACATCATTTTGTATTATTTCATTAATTCATTTCCATATGGTATGCCATATATATACTTGGCAAGAATGATTGAAGGGGGAATCGGGAATCTAATCTTATCCAAATGAGATCTTCAAAAAAGGAGATCATAAAAATCCTTCCAAAAAAATATCAATGAAAAATGAGCTTCATCCCATATCTTTTGTTCTTCATAAATATACAAAAATTCGAGTAATATTTGGGTGTTGATACAATTTTGTATATCAACATTGTTGTTGAAGATTCGTTTTGTAACGGAAAAACAAAGTTATGTATATAATGACTAAGTTGATGAAGTTTGATTTTATTAGTAAAATCAAAACAATAAACAAAAAAAAAAAACATTAGTTTTTCTTAAAGCAATTTCAGTAGCCTTCTTTCCATAGAAAGAAATGAGATTACTGTAAATTTAACACATTGAAAAATTAACTAAATTTTCCCGAGGCAATCAAGAAAGCTGTATAAGCGAATATATAACCTACAAAAAAATTGGCTAATCCAACCAATTTTGCTAACACAATGGAAAGGGCTACATGTTTATCTGTCCATCGAATCAAACTGGCCAAAGGTGTGCGTTCGCGAGCCCATGATAAAAATCATAAGAGCCTCCTTTGTGTCACTTGCTGACACTAGATTACGTAGTAGAAAAGATTGAATAATCATACCTCTATAGTTATTTATTTCTTTATTTCATCCTTATTTTTTTATAGGCCTAAGAGTAAAAATGTTTACGTTTTGAATCATTCAAAATTCAACCTAAAGAAACAATATAAATAAAAAATATAACATTTCATGGTACAATTCTTCATTTTTGATAAAATGGTACGACAGATCAACATATCTAATACTTAAGTTGTCTTACAAATGACATGAATTATGTATAAGACGGCGTAACTGTTGGACGATCAGTCCATCATTTTTTTAACAAAATTTGCATATTTATGCTATATAATTTCATATTTTTATTTATATTATTTTATCCAGTATGACATAGTTTATATATTGAAAAAATATAGTTATCTTACACTTTGGCGTGCCTCACAATGGTCTTACTACATATAGGATTTTATAAACTTAGGAAAACCAATATTAATGTGTTGAAAAAATATAGTTATCTGACTGTTAGCCCCGTCTCACACTAGTCTTATTACATGTTAAAATTTCTGAAATTAAGAAATCCGAGATGCTAAGGTTGTTAGATAAAAAAAAATTAACCTACCTCAATACACAAATTCTTGTGTAAGACGGTTTAACCGTCAAGTGAACTGACTCATCATACTTTATGGAAAAGAATGCATAGGTATACTACCAAATTCCATGCTTTGTCATTCTTCTATTTGTCAAGTTTTTAAAGTATGATATTATCTAGTAAAAAATGCATATTTGTAAAAAAGAGTATGTCGGTCTAACTGTTAGTCTCGACTGACACAAGACTTACCGATTCCAATCTAGAGAGAACTTGTTAGCCATGGAAGGTGATTTTAAGCTTCATTAACTAACAAATCTAAACAATCAACCAAAATGGAACAACATTTATAATGTGGTGAGCAAACAATGGAAACATAATCTTCAATAAAATCAAACAAAAAAGGTTATAAACGTTTCGAGTAACCGGAGCCTCCACACTTCTTGCAGAGTATTAATCCTGCCAAAATGTTTTCAAGATATAATCAGAAATATTTTATTGGAATAACTGCAATTGTAGTACGTTCACCTTAGGTTTCATATATTTGCAAAGATAGATAAAATGGAAGGAAAAAAAACAAAAAAAACAAAGTTATATGTTAAAGTTGTGAACACCCCTGGATATGCGCTAGCTTTGTTACAAAACTGCGCAAAAGTTATGAGCGACACTTCAGTTCTTAATGCAAATAGGGCTGTAAAAAGGGTCGAGGATATAACTACAAAATTAATTTCTTGAAATTTCTTTATTCTGTGAAAACTAATGTGATCGAACAACCAGAAATTATGAAAAGAGGCACATGTACATTTGTAGTTACGAAGGAGCAGTTCGCAATTTTAAAAAAGGAAAACAGAAATTTTGGCAAGTAAGCTAAACCTCAGTGTAGGTTCTTGTAAAGAGCTCTTTTCATTCCGACTGACTTCTCATTTGTAAATGAAGCAATCAAGCAAATGGAAAAACAAAGAGCTCAAATCATCTTGAACAGTTCACTTATGTGCCAAGTTAGTCATTTGTCGGATTAATTGAAAACACAATGAGGAATCATCACACCTGAATTATTGTCTTTACAACTAACAAAAAGCAAAAATTATTCGTCTTGTGAGTGAAAAAATGTACCTGCACCTTTGCACACTTTACAATCTACAAGACCCGCCTCAACTTTCATCTTACCGTCACTGCAGAATACACACTTAGTGCCACCTGCCCATCAATTTAACAAATTAGAAGAACAAAGAAAACCAAAAAGAAAAAAAAAATAAGCGGATGTAGATGGCCTTTAAATATCTACACATTATTGCAGCAATTAACGAGCCAATTTAGCTCAAATGACTACATAAATAACAATCTTTTGTTAAAAGTAACAGCAGAAAAGAATAAGATACTCGACAATCAGAAAAGGATTTCCAGATATTCAGTTTGAGATTCGTCAGACAACTTACAATCCTTCATTTCTTGTTCTTAATTGACACCATGTATGAAAGATACTACAAATTACCTAGATGATTGCATAGACAAGACAACATTTTATGGCATGTGCATATCTTCCTATCTTGTTCCTCTTATTAAGTGTGCTCATCATTGTATGTTGACATTACCATTATATGATTATATCAGGCAACAATTGCATATAAGATATGCTACAAAGCCCAAATCTATCATTCGGTTTCGTTAGAGATAAACAAAAGAGTTCATCTTTCGAAAGTACAAGTAACCCCATCTACATTTGAGCCTATTTAACAAACTAGGCATATTGAGGGTGGGCTGAATGAATTTTTAATTGGGTAAAATTGAAAGGGAACATTCATAATTTTATATCCTCATACAGCCATGGATATATCATGTTCCTCAAAATACATTCATCAAGCTGAGGAGACTTATATGCTAATGCTACATGTCATTAATGCACCCACAAAAATTAATTCTTGGATAAAGTTTAATAAACCCTTCTTAAACCCATATGGTGTTAACAAACTTACAGGCAAATCAAGCAGAGCCCAAATCATGAACAGACAAAAAAGAGCACCCATAAATTGACAATGCCACCATAAAATTCACATCAAAATCGCTACACCTTTCATGACAGTTCACCACTTCACATTACACAATAGAAAAAAATATAATCGCTAGGTCGAAATTATACCTTGAGGCCAAGAACAAGAGAGAGCCCAATAGCAACCAAAACACTGACAGTGACCAAGAAAGTCTGGGTGTCCACGGCGGGGGGATCAAGACCAGAAAAGAGCAAAATGGGTTGCTTCGAGATGATGGGCCGTTGGGCTTGCGCCGGAATTTTGGACGAGAGAGAAGAAGAATTGGCCGGGGACGATGAGGATGGCAAGAATGTAATTTCAGAGTTATCGGGGGAGTGTTTTGGGAGGCTGTAGAAGAAGAGTGATGAAGAGTGAGAAGCGGGTGATGAGATGGAGAGGTGCGGCGACGGTGGTGGCGGCTGTGGTGGTGGCGCGGCCATCGGGTGTGGCCGTGATGGCGGATATGGGGAGTCTGGTGTGTGGATAATATGGCTGAGCCTCGCGGTTAATTTTTATATTTATTTATATTTATACGTATTTATCTTTGTATTAATTTTTATATTTATTATATTTATATGAGTAATATAATTGGATATAATTCAATATATATTTATCAGGATCAAAATAGTTTTAAATATTAATATTATTTTTTTTATTTCAACCATTATAAAATAGTAGCCATATTAAAGTTTCTATTTTAAGATTTTCTTTATTTAAAAGTGATGAACATGAAAATTTAATATATTCAAATTTTATTGATGAATAATACTTACAAAAAATAATTCTCTCTCTACCCTTACTCATGTCTTGTTACGATATATTATATTGATTCCTAAATACGTGATGGTAAAATTGAAATTTTGTGAAGAATATTACAAGTCGATACTTAATTTAAAAATGTATATTGTATATTGTTTAAATTTTGAAAAATATTAATTTAATTATGTCAAAAATATTTAGCTTTTCTATAATTTAAAATAATGCATATTATAAATATTTTATTTTATTTTCTAAGTTAAGGATTCATATGATAGTGATGAGATACCGATTGATCTATTGTTATAATTTATAACAATCAATCAATCAACAAGCCGTTAAAATTATACTAATTTATAACAATATGCATTATAAATATTTTGATTTATTTTTCTAAGCTAACAATTTACGTCGTTGTTTAATAGGTGACTTGTTGATATATCCTTATATTTTATAAATATTATTTTATAAAAAATACTAATTTATATCCAACTCTAGCTACGTAGCATAGTTTTTTGTTACATAGGATTTCGAAACGTGCGAGTCTACCATTCAAGCTCAACGCATTCGCCAATTATATATAGAGGAATTTGTTTCAAAAAGTTAATTGCCAAACAAGGAATGCTCAAATAAATTATTATGGGTCTGTATCATTCTCTTTATAAATGCTGAGTTTTCTAAAATTGTGTATCGATTTCAGGTGCTTCTTAATTGTATATGTCGATTTATGATGCTTCCTAATCATATATGCCAATTTATAAGGATTTAAAGTAGTCATATAGGTTGGACTTCTACTTATGCTTATTAGGACTTGTAAAAATAAACACTTAAATAACTTTAAATTACAAATACATTTAAATAGTTAATAATTTTCGTATTTAACAAACACCCAACAAACGAAAAAATGCACCAACTGAAAATTTTGTAGCACACGAGAGGATTTTAAAATGTGAAACCACAAAACCGATAATCCTTTTTGGAATGAAGATACATTGATACTTACCCATCCAAATTGTTAAAAAGCTAAATTATGGCAAGAAAATTTCACAATACACTGATAAACTAACAAATATATTAAGAGTGCCCAACACAAAGGTAGGGCAAAGATATTTGAGGAAGAGCAAGAGAGAATGGGCAAAAGATCAAATTTAAAAGGATAAGAAAAAAAATCAAGTCTTCCATTAATTGTACAAACATCCATTAAACTCAAACACATCACCAGTCAGAGCACTCTATTGTCTATTTGCACGTAGTATATCGCAAAAAGAAAAAAAAAAAAAAATTCAATCACACCCAACAAACAACAAAGGTAAATTGAACATGCAAATGTCACTGAAAGATGTCAACGAAGAAATACGAAATTCTAAAAAAAATCTGGGGAAAAACTTTCCGCTCAAAAGCTTAACACCAGTTGAGCAATATAAACCTTGCATAACCACCACAATCAGATCTAATTTGAACTTGAAATATAAAATGGTATAACAAAAGTATCTTATTTCACGCCAAATAAAATGTGGTTTTTATATAACACGATATTTATATCACGTGTGGAATGGAAATAACGAAAATACCTCATTTTCTTCTAGTTAGGGAAATATAACCTGGCATGGTAAAAAATCAAACAAATCTTATAGAAGAAAAGTTAAACAGGGTTGGTTGTAACAAGAAATAAGAATAGATTGAAAAAACAAAAGTCCAACCATCAATCAAACCATGAAATGCAAGATATTGAATATAAAATCACGGCAGAAAATGCGACATGCAGCATATTGCCCGAGATGAACACTGAACAAATTACAAACAGGCTCAACATGACCAACCAAAGTCACATTACTCTCCACCAATGGACAGGATACTACCTATAATCATCAATATCTAAACAAATATCTAAAGGATGAGAAATTAAATAAACACATTCTGATATAAACAAGAATAAAATGAAGTGAATTCGTGTGGACACAAATTGGTCTCAATAAGAGTGAAATGAATTATCAGTTCAGGTAGAAACAAAAGCTCTTAAATAGATTGAAAATGAATATATCATGATCCAAAATAATAAACAGGCCAGGCCATCGCAAGAAAATGCAAGTAGATTGAGAAAACAAAAAACCAAAGACAGCCCCTAAACTCTTAGCAACAATAGCATTGCATAATCTAACTCCAAGACCCAACCAAGTCTGCCAACAAGGGCCAGAATATAACAGAGAAACCATATTCAGTGCGGAAGACACAGGGAATAAATGTTAAAAGTCAAAAGACCAAGAAAATATGTGTTGTGACAATTAAACAAGTACACAGATTTTAAACAAGTATACATATTTTAACACAATCTTATACAAATACTTTCAGACCATAACGCAGCACCCATCACCAAGTTTCACTCATCGCCTGTTCAAGCTTACAAATTAGCTGCCCTCAAAAGAAGTTTGCCTTCTATACAGCAAAACAAACCAACAACATCATAGAGTGTACCAACCATGGACATGCGACCAACCATAATTGAATATCTAAAAGTTGTCGAATGAGTCAATCTTTTTTGGGACTGAAATTACATAGATAGTAGCGTATAATGTTGACAAGTTATTAGATTATGGCAAGAAAATGTAGAACTACACTGAAAAACAAAAAACCTATGAGAGTGCCCAAGAATCTAAGTTAAATCTCAACCCATGTCTCCCAAAAATAGAAGGAAAGTAAACTATATAGGAAACACATAAGTGATATGAGAGATGAGTATCGTGTACAATGTTCACAAGAATAGAACAAAAGCATGAAGTTAACAACACAGGATAAAGAAGTTATTATTACAAAGTATTAATATATAAATAAAACCTAGCTCTTATCAAGTGTCCAACCCCCTTGGTCACAAATAGGTAGCACAATCAAATGCAAATCCTAAACCATGTAGTCCCCCGAGGTACATAAAAAAAATTTAGGGAACCGTATTTGGAGCACAGGAGAACGGAAAAAAAGAATCAAGTCAAAAAGAAAAAGAACTTTACAATCACCCAACAAATAACAAATATAAATTGAACATGCAAGTCATTGAAAATGTCAACCAGAACCTACAATTCTAAACAAATTATAGAAAAAACTATCCCCTCAAAAGGTTGGCAGGCAATAGAAACTTAGGATAACCACCCAAGTCAGTTGGAACTTTGGATATAAAGGGTACAACAAAGATAGCTTATTTCATGCCAAATAGAATGTGGTTTTTACATAACAACATACATATACAACATGTGGAATAGATATAACGAAAAAGGCCTCATTTTTTATTTTTTAAACTGGGTGGATAGTAAAAATCTAAGAATAGATTGAAATACCTAAAATCCAACCAACTTCCCTTAAGATCAAACAACCATGAAATGCAGGATATAGAAAAAATCATCCCAGAAAATGCGGCATACAACATATTCCGGAGTTAAACACCAAACAGATTACAAATAGGCTCAGCATGACCAACTGACGTCGTATTTACTCTCGATCAATGGACATGACACTACCTATAATCATCAATACCTAAACAAAATTAATTACTCGAAAATTAAACTGAAGAGTTAGTGCACAAGTTATTATATATATATGTGTATATATATATATATATAGGGGCTGGTTCAAATAAAAACTAGTGTTGGTGTGAGAACCGTGAGAACCGTATTAGATGCTATTTTTAATTATGTATGATGCTATTTTTAATATTAAATGATGCTATCATTTTCACAAATGCTAATATAAATTGCTAATATAAATTATGTTGTTATTTTTAATAAAGTTCATCCTAGTTAAAAATAGCACCAAACACAATAAATCATAGCACCACGCACAATTAAAAATAGCGGTTCTCATATATAAAACACAAGTAGATTCTAAGCAACAATAACATTACACAATCTAAATCAACGGACAACCCAAGTCTGTTCACTTCTATGGTTAAATGGAAACAAGCATACTAACAAAACCGAGAGAGTTAAAGAGTTAGGACAAAGAAGTGGGTCCATCCGCAACCGTGCAATATTGACTAATGGGAATCACATGGGTGAAACAGTAAAGATCAACAAGGTGTGGCAAATAAATGAGTATACAGATTCTAACACTGTCAGACCATTAAGCATCAACCATCACCAAGTTTCACCCTGTCGCCCGTTCAATCATAGAATTTACTCAATTTAGTCGTCCTCAAAGGAAATTCACCATCTACATTGCAAAAAAGACACCAACATCATAAAGACCAACCCTGTACATGCAACCAACTTTTTATAGCTGAAAATACTCTCAATATATAGCTTAAATCAATTAGCCAAAACAAGGTCAGAGCAAGAAAAGAAAAGAACAAAAATGGTAATAGACAATAATAGAGTATCTAGAATGCGGTCGAAGGAGTCGATCCACTTTAGGACTGAAAGGCATGGAATCATATAATTATATATGAAACACATAAAGTGCGTGAGAGTGAGAACCATGTACAAAGCTCATGAGAAAGGTAACAAAAGCATAAAGTTAACAGGCCAAAAAAACAATGTTATTATCACAAAACATTAATACATTGAGAAAATCCAACTCTTGTCAAGCGTCCAAAATCCGCAAATAGGTATCACAATCGAATGCAAAGACCGGACCAAGTCATCCCCCAAGGTAAGGCATGGAAATCTGAGGAACCGTATTTGGAGCATTGGAGAATGGAACAAAAATTCAAGTCAAAAGGAACACGAGAGAATAAAAAACAAGTTATTTTTAGGAAAATATTAATGTAGTAAAGCAAAAATCTGACCAAATGCCCAAACCCCTTATCACAAACATGTAGCATTGAATTCAAAGCGGAAATCAAGTCATATCCACAGTATGGCAAAGAGATCCGAGGAACAGTTTTGAGAGCATGGGAGAATGGAACTAAGGATAAACTTAAATGGAAACAATTAAAAATAGATCATTGTTACAAAAATATTAGTACATAGACAATCAAAATAACTAATTGAAAGCCCAACCTGTTAGCAACAAATAGGTAGCACAGTCAAATTCAAGGCCCCAACCTCGTCCCCCAAGTTAGGACAGAGATTCGAGGAACCTTATTGAAAGAACAGGAGAGACTTGAAAAACAACTCAAATGTAAGGGGATAAGGGGAAAAAATAGTCATTAGGATAAAGTTAATATATATACAAAACAAATAATAACAACAACAACAACAACAACAACAATAATAATAATATAATTCCCAGCCCCCTTAGCCAGAAATAGGTTGCGCAGTCGAATTCAAAGCCCAAACCAAGTCGTCCCCCATGATAGGGCAAAGAGATCCGAGGAACCATATTGAGAGCATAGGAGAGTGGAACAAAAGATAAAAGGATAATGGAAAAAAATAGGTAATTAATACAACAATATTAATAAATAGACAAAAATCTGATCTATTGCCCAACCCCTTAGCCGCATACAATAGCGCCATCGAACTCAAAGCCCAAACCAAGTCGTCCCCCAAGGTAGGGCAAAGATATTCGAGGAACCGTATTGAGAATAAGAGAGAATGGAACAAAAGATCAAACTTATAAGGAAATAGAACATTGGCAAAAAAAATATTAACTTATGGACAAAACAACAAACCTAATCTAATTCTCAATCCTCTTAGCCACAAATAAGGGCAATCGAATTCAAAGCCCAACCAAGTCGTCTACCAAGATAGGGGCAAAGAAATCCAGTGAACAGTATTGAGTATAGGAGAATGGAATTTTCAAAATGATACGGGAAAATTAGGTGAGGTTTAAAAAAATAAGAAAAAAACTAAGTTGATATTATAAATACAAAGACAACAAAAAATACCAAATAGATAGTGCAACCAAACCCAAAGCCCTAACCAAGTCATCTTTGAGAAAATTCATCATCTTCCGAACCATCTAGTAGAGTGTCCCAAATCCATAACCAACATTAAAATAATTTATGCCAAAAAAAAATCTTAAATGGTTATAACTGATTTGAAAGTTTTGAAAGAAAAAATGCCAGGAGAGATTTTAATTGCAGGGAAAGTTTCTGTAAATGGGGAAAAAATCATACGAAACTGTATGATGTAAATTATAATCAAGATTTGATTCGTGATAATTAAACCAGTAAACACCAATTCGAACTCAGACAAAGCACGGTATAGGCATAAAATTATCACCATTCAAATTATCGAACAACGGGAGAAATTAGAAGTTTAACTCGCGAACAGTTCATAAGAATAAGAAGGAGAATCAAACAATTTAATTGGATTCGGAATACCCAAATCGCACCGACATGAAAGGCTTTTCGTCGTTCGATTCAAAAGAGACCCTAATCGCCCCCTTTTGTTTGACAAATGAGACCCTAATGGTTATTTTGACCCTTATCTTTTCCCTTCCCAGACGAACCTGAAACTCAGCAAATATAAAATGGAAACGAAGATTTATAGAATGATCGATAGAAGTTTTTCTCTGGGCAATGCATTTGAATTTTGAAGGTATACACTATACAGGACAGACAACTGTTGCGTGATGAACTTTATATAGCGAGAATGAAGACGAAGCAGAAGAGAGAAGATCGAATTGGAAAACAACGCGTCTGATTTAAGTTTAGGGTACTTTCCTAAATAAACGTCACATCCCTTTCGCTTACCATAATTGATATTACCCCCAAAGGATAAATAACAATAAATGAAGTATCACATATGATATATATTTCATTAGCGTGAAGAAAAAAGACATCCAATAGCCAGATTTATTATAATGATTAAAATTGTTTCACTAAAATCAGAAATTCACTTGTATGGAAAAAAATATTTGTTATCGAATAATACTAGCACTACATCCGTGTACTACACAGGTGCATGAAAAATAAATTGAACAAAAAAAAATAAAATAGTTTAGTTGTTGTAAATATATACAAAATAAATAAATTGAAGTTTCATAAAACAAAAACTACTATATATTNACAGAGACACTGCATAAAAAATGGACCAAAATTTATCAACTTGAAAAAAAAAAATGATGAATTGGATAAACCCCTAGTAAAATAAAATAAGGAAATAAAGATTTGTGTGATTTTTCAATTCAAGACAATTCTTGTAATAAAAGAGAGATTGATGGCAGACAATAATTTATGGTGAAAAAATTATTTATGACACTTTCCAAGTCAAATTTGTTTTCAAATTTTTTATCTGAACCAAAATGCGAAGCATGATATTGTGACATGTAAGATTCCAAAACATGCGTGTTGTGTACAAATTGTTATATTTACCGAGTACCGAATCGAAAGATTCGTTCCCCGGGTCGATCTCTCGAGGAAGGTCGTTCGGAATTTAGCTTTGGCATCGATAACACATACAAAGAAAATAAATCTTAAACACTCTAATCAAATAAGGGGGTTTGAATAATTATTAACTAAGAAATAAAATAAACAATAATCTACCTAAAAATATAAACGAAACAACGATAAAGAAGCTAGGGAGTTAGGGACAATTAACTCAAGTTCTATTAGCACTCCGGGACATAAATCATTGTATTCTAGATTGACGCTCTCGCTTAAACATCTAGCGGTTCGCTCCCAATAACTCTTCGTAACAAAAGATTGAACATAGGCGAACAAACTCGAGCATACGACGCAGGTCAAATATCCCAATCCCAATAACTTTTCGTAACAAGGGACAAGTCATCGACAAGTACGTATTTCAATCTAAAATCAATAGACTATTCAATTACGAAATCATCTACCTCATGCGAGCCTAGGTCTACGACTTCTCCCCTTTCGGTTCTAAAAATCGCTAATTAACTAGAAGGTGATTAATCAACTAATCATATAGAATTGACAGACCCTAACTCGACAAATTAACATTCAATCGTTTCCAATCGCAAGATCGAAGTGTCACTCTTCGATTATATCAATCAATCAAGCACAAGTTCATCAATTCCGAATTATATCAACTCACATAAGCATGAACAAATCAAGCCCGACAAATACGAATCAAACAAAAACAATCATCCCCTATCCCTAGCAATATGAATTAGCTAAGTAATATCAATTCAACCCAATCCATCATCTCTCTCAATTCAACCATTATCCATGAATTAAAAATAAAGAGAAGAACTTACAATAAATCGCAATTTTAAGTGTTGAATTTGAATTACAAGCTTAATCCTTGAATACTAATAAAAATAAGAAGAAAAATGGAAAAGAAAGATGAAGAGAAGAGAAGAGAAGAATCCCGTTTTGGGGTAAGAAGAAGAAGGGGGGGAGAAGGAGAGAAGAAAAAAATGGAGAGGAATGGAGAAGAATCCCGTTTTGGGGTAAGAAATTCGGTCAAAATATGTTTTTTTTTCGATCTTAATGCCCCTCTCCCTTCAAAAGCTCGAGAAAAACACACTTTTGTATAAAAAACAGACCTTAGCGCCGCTAAGGCAGGTTAGCTGTTTGCCTCTGACGTCGGTAAGGAAGCATAGCGCCGCTAAGGAGGACTGGGCTACGCGACTTTGCGTTTTGGGGTCGTTTGGGCTCGTTCGAACTCGGAATTGAGTTCCGTTTTTTTTACGCGTCACTAACGAATCCCTCTATTCAATGATGCTTGCATGACCAAATTATTCTTGAAATCCCATTCTCCCAAAGCTCTTGACCAATAGACCAAAGCCGTGTTTCGCGCGACTTCGCGTTTTGGACCCGTTCGGACCCGTCCAAGCTCAAAATTGAGCTCCGCTTCTTCGTATATGTCGCCAACGAACCCGTCTACACAACCATGATTGCCTGGTCAATTTTCGGGCAAAATCTTTTTCTCACGGGGCTTCCGACCTGCACACTAAAAACAAGAAGAAAAATCAGAAAAACACACGAAAAACACATAGAAGACCAAAATAGAGTAAAACACACAATAAGCTACAAAAACGACTAAAAACCAACGAAAAGACGTAAAACGGGAGAAAAAGAATGACAAAACAACAACGAAAAATGCAACAAAAATGGGACAAATAATGCGAATCTTCCACTCAAGCTCATCACATTTTGAATTAATATATAGAGGGGATTTTCATATATGATTTACCTAATTAAGTTTCTCTTAAAAAACTTTGATGTAACAACTAGGGTTGTTCAATCGGTTAAAACCGAACCGAACCGACCGAAATTTTTGGTTTGTCCAACTTAAAACCGAAAATCGAACTGAATTTTACGGTTCGATTTGGTTTCAAACCGAAAATCCATCGGTTGGATCGGTTATCCGATAAAATGGAGAAATGACCAAAAAAAAAAAAAATCTACAAATAGCTATCTACTTACTAATGTCACCAAAACAATCTAAAACACATGTGTCTGAGAATGCATTGAGAACTTATTAATTATGATCTTACAGAAAAATGAAGATAAGCATCATTTAAGTAGTGCTCAAAACCTGTTACTATTTTTTGAAAATATAGTTAGACCCAAATAACTCAAATCACATTATATACAGTCACTGGTGTGGGAATACTCACTCAACGATTTTACTAATTTTATTAAATTGGATTTTAACAATTAAAATTGAACATAACGATTTAATTAATTTTATTAAATTAGATTTTAACAATGAAAATTGAACATATGTTGAAATGGAAACATGTTTAAAATGACTAGCAATGTGGGTGGGCTGCCTTTTCATCTGTTCCATACTTATTAATATCAATGGGCCTGAAAAAATATGGGCTTGGTGGGTAACTATGGGCTTTGTAACTTATATGAATAGTATCGGTTTTCGGTTCAGTTTAGATAACCAATCACTTTTATCCAAATTGAATCGAAAATCGAAATATTAAGGAATATAAATCAAAAACCGAACCAAATATTCGGTTTCAGTTTTGATCGGTTAACCATTTTATGTGCACCCCTAGTAACAGTCATATTGCATATATAAATAAATATTTATATTTACCTTTATAACAGAAAGTTACCTAATAGATATAATTGAAAAATAATAAAACTATCATTAATTAAATAAATTTATCTATCATTTCCGCTATATAGTATGAATATAAAATAATAGAATATATGATGGGTAAGTCATATAAGTGACAAGTTCCATTTTAAATAAAGATAATAATATAATTTTTAAACTCAAAATATTTTTTTATTTTTTATTTTAAATTTAAGTATAAATATTTTATTATTACCCGTATAATACATGGTATTGCTCTAACTAGTATAAGAATTATAAGGTGTTATATTCAAGTGGAACAATTATAATATTACAATTATATTATATCCATTTATAAATAAATGACATTCTTACACACACACACACACACAAAAAAGAGAGAGAGAGAGAGAGAATTACAATTAATGTTTTACCATTATTGATATATTATTTTCCTAATACTCATTCTTTCTCTTTCCATGTTTTTACTAATTTGTTTATTTCTTACACTTTGATTTCTTTTCCCTTTTCAATATTTTTATTGTATATAATTGGAAAAGAAAAATCCCAACGACAAATAACCAGAAATAAAATAAAATAAAACGATACTTAATACTAAAGGGGGAATATATTTAAGTCAATACCACACTTCTTAAAATGACTGTGTTTTATGATTTTCGGTAATGTATGTCTTTTTAAATTTAAATGTATGAAATATGTTGCTAATGAGTCCCTGTTGTTCTTGTTGATACTTGAATATAGCAATCACATGAAATCATCTTATACAAATTTTTGTGATGTCCATTACACGAGAGCATATGTACATGATATATTAGATCTAGGAAATTTGTAACAAATCACAAGTTTGGAAAAATGAAATCAGGAAGATGAGATATAAATGACACACATAGTAACTGAATAACTGGCATTTGAAGATTTTGCAAGCTCTTATTGGATTTGAGCAACCTCTAGTAGGATTGACATTAATGTAACCAAAGCAAGCCAACTCATACTTATATGGGTAATTATAATATCATGAGTTTTGCTATGGAACCAACTGTTGACTTCATAATGAAGCCAACCTCCTATACATAGTAAGTAAAAAATACCATATTTTATAATTTAATAAAAAAAATACAATCAACAACTTTTTGATAAGAAATATAACAATATTGAAAAAGTAAAAGTATTATATTTTTTAATAATGAAAAAATAAATACTATAAAATCTTTGTGATATTATTTAAATCATTTAAAAATTCTTTGAATCATTTTAGTTAAACATTAAAATTAATAATAATATGTATGACTAAGTACTTTATAAAATTTGAAAAAATAGTACAAATTTGTAGTATTTATTTTTTTTCATTCAAATTAAAAAATATAATAACTTTTATTTTTTCAATATTGTTATATTTCTTATCAAGTAGTTGTTGATTGTAATTTTTTATTTAATTATAAGATATGGTATTTTTAACTTACTATGTATAGAATGTTGACTTCATTATGAAGCCAACAGTTGGTTCTATAACAAAACTAATATGATTATATATTATATAAACATCAAGCACAATGTTGAAGATATAGCAAGTTTATCTTTGCCAAAATTTCTTTATATATTTTAAAATAAAAAAACATGCTATTTGTGCTCTTGATATTTTTCTAACAAAGAAACAAAAAGAAAAATACGAGTGTCATTTACTGCTACGAGATTGTTGAGTATAAAGTTGACATTTTTTGGCATTTTATTCTCGAAATTAGATTTCAGGCACCAATCGCGCATTCATACAGTAGAAATCACCAAATTCATATTCAAGCACAAGAAAACAACTCACAACCAACTAATTAATTTCGAAAAAAGTCTCAAAAACAACTTCTTTAATAAATGTGAAGGATTATCAAACAAAAGGAGCCACACCATTCTTGACAATACACCTTCAACTCCATTTTTTTCCTCTTGTATTGACAGGTATGCATTTATTCAAATCCTTTTAGAGTAAGCATTGAACTCTTATCTATAATTTCTCTCTAAATTCTATTGTCACACACCACACTCATAAAAATGCCATTCAATTTACCATGAAAAAACATTGGTTTTCTTGTCTTTAGTCCCCTTCACAAATTCAAGAATTCCATCAAAATTTTAGACTCAAAGAGGAAAATGGAAAAACCTCTCTCCCCCCACAAAGAAAAGTCGCTATATTTTCACCATTGCCAAAATTTCAAATAATCTTTCCCTCACTTCTCTTTCCTCTTGCACACCATTTTCTCTGGCATCAATCAATCGATCTTCAACTTCAGTTCTTCCGAAAAGGGAATCGAAAAACCCTAATTTTTGCACCCGTCAGTTCAATTTCTTGATACCGTCTCTGTATTCTCTCTCGCTCTCTCACACACACGCGCGCGCGCACACGAGCACTCGTGCTTTCACCGAAAGAGTAATGCTCGTGCACCAAATCTGGAGTTAATGTGTTGATTCCCGTAAAGGGTCTCAAGAGCAATCATTTTATTCAATTCTATCACAGCACCCCGAAAGTTCATTTCTTTTGATTTTGTTTTCAATTATACCTTTTTTTTCTCCTTTGATTTCATGGCTGCTGCCTCTTTGGGTCGATGAAGTAATAAATATCAGAAAAAGGTGTGGGTGAGCTTTTTTCCTCTGTACTGACAGCGGAAATTGATTCATAGTTCAGTTCAAATCAGTGCTCGAGCAATGCCGGACGACTTGATAATGCACTTCTCCAATTCTTCTAACCAATCGGATCAATCCTCGAAGATTGCAAAGCTCGAGGCCCGGTTGGTCGGCAGACCTTCATCTGCAATTGCCTCACAGGCCCAAGCCCCGGCCCAGCTGAATTCGTGGCCCACCCCAGCCAAGTTTGTAGAGACGGGAGACAGCCTGCCCGACTCTTTTGCCGACAGCGATGATTCTGATGATGTGAGTATCTGGAGTATTGACTGTTGTTGTTTGTGCTGAATTTTATTCATGTAGTATTTGTTACTTTTTCAGGTGACTGAATGGATGTGATTGAATACTTCATCTGGAAGGGATTCCTGAACTTAATGTTTCTGTTTTCTTTGCATGCATATATAGTTTAGTGGGGTATTCTGGTTTAGTGATGCCTGTGTGGACTGTTTGTTGATGAAATCCGTGTTCTGTTTGTGTTTATGATGAATGGCTGGAATAAGGAATTTATGTTATGCTGCTGCCTGACCGTGATTCTTGCTGTGCTTTTGGTAGTTGATGAATGTGGATTCTCTTATATTGCTCAACATTCATCTCACGTCATGCATTGAGTAATTTCTGTTCGACCTTGATATTCATTCTGATCTTGATGTACAAAGTAAGTATATCAAAGCAAGTGGAAGCGGGTAATTAGGAAATTGGTTTGACATATATGTGGCATTTGTGTGCAGTATTACAAAGGATTTTCTGTTGATAATAGTCTTTATCCCAGTATATGTCAGATTGATGGAACTTCACAGTATGGTCACAGTGTGATTTGCATGCAATATTTCCACTATCCTAATATCCAATGTTATATTTAATCAGTTGATTATCTATAGTCCATGGGAGAAGAAAAATTTCTTTGATGTGATGTCGTGAAGATAGTTTTGAACATTTTAGTATTCTATACTCTTGTGAAGATTAGTTTTTCGATTGAGATGACGGAGTTCTGCTATCTCAAGTATTGGTCCATTGATTAGACCTCCAGAATGTAACTTTGGGGTTTCCAAGTAATGAGATGCAAAAATAAAAAAGATCCATTTTGTTGATATAGTTAGTTCTTATTGGATGTTTTAAGTTATCCTGTAACTTTACAGTTGCCCCATGGTTCCATAATCACATAATCTCTCATCTTCTGGTGCGGGATTGCTCCATTCTCATTTCTCTCCTTCTGAAAGTCTGTGTCAAGATTACCACCAATGTCCTCTTTGTTTTTTCTCAACCCAATTGAACTAAGATCAAAGAAAATGCTGATAATGCATTACAATTTTGTTCAAAATATTTTTGCCTTAAGTGGTTTAGGGACTATTAGAATTTCTCTTGTGGCTAATGAGTTAGCTGAAAATACAATTGACCTTGAGGTAGGATCGTGTTTCCTAATTTATTTTATACACTTAGGCCAAATCTTATCCGTATGTTAAAGAGGGAAGTAAATTATGATACACTTCACTCATGCATAACTTCCTCAACTAAGGTCGGCATGATGATATCAACACGTGCGTCCTTTTTTCACGTGATAGTTTAGTCTAACTGAATGCGGTAATATACGGTGAAAAGCCGATGAATCTATTCTTGAATTAGATAAATGGACGTTATGAGGGAATGAATTTCATGATTAGAAGGGAGGTTCCCATAAACCCTTTTTTGCATAACATATGAATGATAAGTTCGTTCTTGTTATGACAAAAGGGGAATCCTTCTTATCATGGTATACTTTGCAAGAGTCTCAACTACTAAGGCTTCCTTGATGAAACCATTGGTTTTGGTACATTCATGTATTGATATTAAGTTTGGGTTTGCGATGGGCCAACGAAAGCAATGAAGATATCATTCCTAAAGCTAACTTCTCTAGTAGTGGGACTTCAAGGGTGGGAAGCTAATCTTTTGTATCGATCAAATTAAGTAGCGTGTCGGGCTATAGTTGGAAGCCTCATGCTAGAACTTCGCATTTCTTGTCAACTTAAGCCGGGGTTTGTTTTCCAAGTTTATTTGTTGAGAATGTTTGTGCGGGCCTATTGCTACATTTAAATGGATCCCTAGATAAAAAGTTTTGTTTTCCGGTCTAAGGACTTGCCAAAACATTATTCATACTATCTTTACATCTTGTCATCCAAGAGGGTTATTTCTAATGCTTATAAAATGATATGAATTGATTATTTTTGTTTATAACCTACAAAATGGTAAAATATTATAAAGGCATAAAGAATATAAGATAATCATTATATAGAACACATAACAATTTCATATGTCTATCAAAGGGTTTGTTGGCCAATCAATCTAGTCGAATTATGTAAGGATTTGATTGCCTTTAACTTGGTGTGGTCAAAGATATAACATAATCAGCATTAACATATAACAAGGTAATCAAAATAAAATTCGATTCGATCTAAGAGCAAGAATGTTATTAAACTAAAATCAGAATTTTAAAGGTCTATTTTATACCACACGAGTGACTAAAGTTGGTAGTCGAGAAAGCAATTGGTCGACCCTATGTTCCATCAATGTTCTTGCGACGAATTTAATTGCTAGGCGACATATATTTTTAGACAATGTTGTAAATCTACTGTTTGCTCCCATTAATGCCCGGCGTTTGGTTGCCAATTACCATTTCCGCATGCTCCCACATGGGCCATACTCAATCCAGATAAATTTCCAAGGCCTAGTAGCTAGTTGCTAATCTATGACTCAATTAGCTTATTGCAATTTTTTCAATGTCTTGCGACTATCAAATCTAGTTTCCTATGTGCATCTTTGTTAGAACATTGATTATGTTCTAAAAATGATGCTTCCTCTTCGATCCATTTTATATCTAGTTGACATGGTTCACTCAAATGGTAGAAAAAGTAGTATTGTACTTTCGGCATGTATTATGCCAATATAGTACCTCTTTCTTTAGAGTAATTATTAGTTCTTTTAGACGACTAGCTTGTAGCTCAAGTAGTATAGTTGACAGGAGTCAATCCTTGTGTTGTTCGAAAAGTTCTATTCACAATTTAAAATCTGCAATGTCCTCTGTTTTCCATATGTATAATGCTTGACACTCGGTTGCAAGTTCTTTGGAAGTTTGTTCTTTTATTCATACATGTAACTTGTTCTTTCTCATTTTTGACTTGTTTATTTGCATCTTAGAATGGAGGACCCTACCTTATACAAGCAAATACTCAAAAACGGCGAAAGCTCGAAGAAGATAGTTCCCCTGTTGGTGAACATGTTGAGGTTAACTGTTGATTTAATATATATTTATATATAATTGTATATATGTGTGAATATAATATTATATTTCTTATAGTTGTATCTGCTTTGACAATTTCTTCCTGTGTCTTATGCTTATTAATGTTTGGAGTTGCTGAGTATTATAACTTTGCTTGTCTGAGTCCTTTAGGATGGTAATATATCAGAGAATATACAGCTGACAGCGCCTGATACTAGACAAAAAATCATAGAAACAGTAGACTCGGACAAGGCTGTAGCAGAAGTGAGTAAAAGAAAACAGGGCCGTGGAAGGGCGAATTCTTCAGGTAGAGGCCGTGGCAGTCGAGCAAAAAATCAGATAACTTCTCCATCAAATGGCCAGGTCGTAAACTCACATCAAAAGGTGGGTCCACCGTGGAAGTTGCTTTATTTTTATCTTTAGGTGCTTCTTTTGCTTTCCTCTAGTGAACCACTTTATTTACTTTGTTTTACTCACGAAGATTTGGAAATTTGATTTTAGTGATCTCACTTGTGTATTAGACATGTGAGCCTATTGGGGGACTTGTTAACATACTCATTATGGTAATAGGGCTGTGGAAATCGAAATAATATTGTCTATTGCTTTTTTTAATCGATCTTTCTTATCCCGAATAAATTGCAGAAATTAAAAACCGGTGTTATGATTTTCTGTTGGAAATTTTATTTGTGTTCCATGAAAATTTACTAATGATCCATTAGGCCTATATCTATGCCTCCTCGATATGTTAACTGTTAATCCCTTAAATATGTATCCAAGTAGTCCACTTTGAATTGATTGAATGGTAAATAGTTATTTTATTGTTCGCATAATCTATTATGTTCTTTTATTGAAAAATGATGCATTTCATTTTATTATGTCTCTGGATATTCAGGATGAGTTATTCAAAGAGCGACTTGGGCACGATAGCCAGTCATCATCAGAGGTTTTCCATTTTTTCAAATTCTTTACTTTGTTAAATTTTAGAGGCATATATATATTTTTTTTCTTTTCTCTTGGAAATTAACCAAGAATCCCTGGTCCTATTATGATGTTTTCTGAATATTGTGTTTTTTACAATATTTGAGATGGTATCATATGCACAGCTTTTTATTTGATACTTATACCTATGATTTATGTATATTAGGATGATGCGAATTCATTACGCGCTAAGGTTGCATTATTGGGGGAGGAGCTGACAAAATCACGTGAGGAGGCTTCTGACTATCGTAATAAGTGTGAATGCCTTGAAAAGGTACTTCAGAAGTTTCTCATTTGTTTAAAGGAGTTACAGTTTTATTTTCTATGTTGCTCAATTGGCATTGCTGATTATTATTGTGGTTTACATCAGAACCTTACCTGATATGTACATTTTTTGCTACTTGAACAGGAGCTGAAGGATGTGAAAGACTATGAGCAGCAGCTGAAGCCTAAGGTTAGTATGGCTTACCCTTGTGACTCATTATTCTCATTAGGTCTATTTATGTTAAGTGTTATTTGTGGTTCTTACCCTATGCCAGTTTCATATTACTTCTAATCATTTATGAAGAATTAAAAGATAAAAATTAACATAAATAAATTACATAGCGAAAAGAACTACTTTCTGCATTCATGAATTGGCAAACTGATTATTTTGATCTTTTGGATTTTATTAGATATCTTATTTCTTCTATTCCCATCTCTGTACTAGTGACCTGTCAAATGTTGTATAAATAGAACAAGAAAAGAATAGGAGCAAAGCTGTAAATTTCAAATGACATGATCCAAGTACTCACCACTCAGTATTTAAGGTTGTCTTGAAATCAGTTTTGTGGAGTCACGACAGGTTTTACTTGATGGGTTTGCTGTTAGTTTTATTTTATTTTTGTATTTTTTTTAATGTTTTCCTTTGGATGCAGAGAATGAAAGTGATATCCGATTTGCTGATATCTGTATCCAAAGCCGAAAGACATGAGGCAAGGATGAAAGTACGGCAAGATTCCTTGAGACTTGGCAATGTGGGTGTGATAAGGTAATTGGACATTATTAATTTTCGCGCGCATCCTCTTTAGTTGCAAACGGGTCTTGAATCAGTCAAACTTGTCAGGTCATGTGCATATTATTTCGAATTTTATTTTTTCAGGAATAGCTTTTATACCAAGATAATACCTTGTGTTCAATGCCTTCTTGTGATACATAGAAAACTGGAGATGAAACTTTCTTCCCTTTCTTACATACACCTCCATACTGCCTTGAACACGCTTTTTTCCCTTCTTTTTGAACTCCTTCCACGTATTTTTTTGTGTGAGTCTTTGTGAGGATATTTTGGCAATTAATTCTTGGTGGTGCTTCATGATTCAGGTTGTGATTGGATATGGATTTGATTGGTTTTAATTTTGGAAAAGTTAATTTTGAAAAAGGTGTTATGGTTAGTTGTTAGTGGGAATTTAATTTTAAATCAAAACAATATTTAAAATAAAATAATTAATGTTACTTTGATATAAAGTTAGGAGAAAAATGATTGGAAGTGATGGTTAGTTAAAATTATGTGAGTGAATGAATAGTGAATTAAAGATGATGTGATGTGGAAGAATGATTGGTTGATATTATTTAATTATATTGATAATATTGAGGATAGTGAAGTTGGGTTAAAGTTGAGTTAAATTTGAGTTCTGATTGTTTCTTTTTTACTAGTCAAGTTTATATCCAATCACACCCTTAAGAACCGGCGGAGAGATTTGACAAATAATTTTGCTTGCGTAGTCTTACGGATAATGGAGTTTATAAGAACAAAAAAATTGGCCAATTTTCCAGACATTTTTAAAAAAACTCGTGTTTAGTTTTAGTTTTTATTTCTTTGATCATCATAAGGAGCTGCAAAAATCATGCATTATCACTACTGGAAAAGGCTATTTCTTTCTATCATTCGTCTCCTTTTGTGTTTTTCTCTGCATTTTGGTAGAGCTGGGACAGTCATATCCGAGGCATGGGAAGATGGACAAGCACTAAAGGATCTCAATGCTCATCTTGTATGATCTTCTGTACTAGAACTTGATTTTTTTCATATATATATATTTGATCTTTTTTCCTTGCAAATTTGTTTTAATATATTATTTTGCACATCGCATTTTGCCGAAGTAGCCCGATTTCAGGAAAATAATCATACGACTTGAGGATATTTTGCTTCTCCATATTAGCCTTTTATGTCTAAGTAGTATCACTTATAAATTTCTAAAATGCTAACATAATTATGTCTTGTTTTAATTCCTGCAAATAACCATCTCCTCTTTTCTTTTCCCCTCTTTTTTGTTGGTAATTTTATAGAGGAGTTTGTTGGAAACAAAAGAGGCCATTGAGAGGCAGAGAAAATCTCTGAAGAAACGCCAACCTGGTAAAAAGGATATCATCTTATCTTTGTGTCAAAACAATTATTGTATTATTTCATTTCGTTAAAGATAAAATGTCATTTTAAGTTTTTTCATACCTTCTATCCTCTCCCTCAGAGTTATATTTTACCAGTAAATGTAAGAGCTAATAGCATTATGATCAATTGCAGATAAGGGCGATGCATCTGAATCTGAGGGTGGGGTTCAAGAAGAAGATATTCTCATTCAGGACGAAATATTCAAGTCTCGTCTAGCCAGCATCAAGCGCGTAAGTGTCTTGTATTTTCTTTCTTTTTTTTAGGTAGTTCACTTTTTCTTATGACATCTTTTTTCAGTTTTTTTTAAAATATATCACCCATATCTCTTTTTATAGGAAGAGGAAGCAGTTATGCGCGAAAGAGACCGTTATGAACTGGAGAAAGGGAAACTTATACGTGAAATGAAACGTATAAGGGATGAAGATGGCTCTCGTTTTAACAATTTTCAGATATTAAATCAGCGTTATGCTCTCTTAAACCTTCTGGGCAAAGGAGGGTTTAGTGAGGTTTATAAGGTCAGGGCTTTTTTCTATGCTTAGGAATAATTCAAGACCTACACTCAAGGTTTTGCCCAGTTACAAATAAGAAAATATCATTTAAATAGAAACATATATCAAAGGGGGCATTTTTAATCTTGAAAGATAGCTGGGATTATTCTTTTTAATTACTCGTACTAGTGTTCGTGATTATGTTTAACATGTGTTGCAGGCTTTTGACTTGGTGGAGAATAGATATGTTGCCTGTAAGCTTCACGGTTTGAATGCTCAATGGAGTGAAGAGAAGAAGCAAAGCTATATACGGCATGCAATTAGGGAATACAACATTCATAAAACGTTGGTTCACCATCACATTGTTCGGCTTTGGGACATTTTCGAGATTGATCACAATACATTCTGCACCATCTTGGAATACTGTAGTGGTATGTATCATATGAGTGTTCTTCCCTTCTTTATATTGTTAATTTAATTTTCTTTTCTTTTTCCCAAAGAGGAAAAAAAAAGAAAAACAAAGAATGTACTTGGGCCTTGGGGTAGATTATGAACAAAAAAAACCTAATTAATAATTCTAATTTGAAATACCTTCTTAAGATACCACAAACACCCTTGTGGGGGTTTGTATTTAGTATTTACATAACAAGTATCTTCTCGAGTTGGGACTTTTTAAAATTGAAAAATATCGAGTTCTTGTAATTTTAAAAGCTATCCTTAATTCTTTTAATTCTATTTTATCGATAAACTAGGTTGAACCTCAAGCTTTTATCTTTTGGTAATTACTCCATAGATGGAACAATTACAAATTATTTATTGAAAAAAACATCGTAACGCATTTGACGAATCCTATCTACAGATGAAATAGCACTTTATGTGGATGCAATCTATTTAACATTGACTAATAAAGATGATTAATAATGACGGGAAGTTTCTTCTTTGTTTGCAGGTAAGGATCTTGATGCAGTTCTTAAAGCAACGCCTGTTCTGCCAGAGAGAGAAGCTCGGATCATAATTGTCCAGATCTTTCAAGGCCTTGTTTACCTGAATAAAAGATCACAAAAGATTATTCACTATGATTTGAAGCCCGGAAATGTTTTGTTTGACGAATTAGGGGTGGCTAAAGTTACAGATTTTGGTCTTAGCAAGATTGTGGAAGATGATGTTGGATCACAGGGCATGGAACTTACTTCTCAGGGTGCTGGTACATATTGGTGAGTTGGACATTATTTATTTATTTATTTATGTATGGTTTTTGTCTTGCAATAGGCTTCGAGCTATTAAAATAACTTGATGAGTTATACTTGAATGATATACCAAAACCCACCATCAATCTTTCAGAATTTCAATAATAACCTTGTATTTTGTATCATGACTGATTTGTTATCATGCTAGTCGTGTGGTTCCAAATCCTTGATGTGTATCAGTTTTCATCTTTGATTAAGGCCAACCTTATATAAATTTTTTTAACCATCTTAAGGAAAAAAAATAGAAAAAAAATAAAAATTACATCTGTTTAAGTTTTCCTCTCTAGAGAATTTGATCGATCCTATATTCCGTCATAATAGGATAGGCCAATGTCTAAATTTTACTTTTTGCATAAAGTATCATTTTTCATCTTTCATTGAGGCCAACCTTGTATAAATTTTTGTAACCATCTTATGGGAAATAATAATAATAATAATAATAATAATAATAATAATAATAATACATTTATTTAAGTTTTCCTCTCTAGAGAAAAAGTTTATTTGATAGATCCTATTTTCTGTCATGATAGATAGGCCAATGTTTAAATTTTCCTTTTTGCATAAAGTGTCTCCCATAGGAGAATCACTCTCTCTCTCTCATGGAATATGTCTGAAACTGTTAATAGGTATCTGCCTCCAGAATGCTTTGAACTGAGCAAGACACCTCTCATTTCCTCAAAGGTCAGAAAATTAATTCCTTTTTCGGTTTTCCTGTATTTTTTTTTCTCTTCATATATGCGTGCATGTTATTGAAATTTTACGCAATCTGGAAATCTATTCTTAGGCTATGTTTGGTGATCCTAGCTAATAAGTTAGCTTGTAGATTTTAAGTTAGTTTCGAGCTTATACCTGATAGGTTATGACTTATGGTTGAAAAACTAGCTAGCTGAAATAAAAATTTCAATGGACTTATTTGAAAAGCTACCCAAGGAAACTTATGAGATAAGCTCCCACAAAACCAAGCTTATTTGAATACATGAAGCTTATACGCTAATCAAATAAGCTATAAGCTAGCTTATATGTTTATACAAACGAACGTTTTGGTTTGTGATGGTACTTATTGTTAGAGTATTAGCTTACTTTTCAATGCTGTGAACAGGTGGATGTTTGGTCTGCAGGAATCTTAATGTACCAAATGCTGTTCGGCAGAAGACCCTTTGGACATGACCAGACACAAGAGCGGATTTTGCGTGAAGACACAATCATAAAAGCTCGTAAAGTTGAGTTCCCTTCAAGACCATCTGTATCGACCGAGGCAAAGGTAAAAAAAAAAATGTTTCGAATTTCTTCCATATATCCTTATTGAATGATTATAAGTGGAGCCTTTTGTAATTAGGCCAAAAATCTCAATGTTTTTTTATTTTTATTTTTATTATTATTATTTCTTGCAGGATTTTATTCGCCGCTGTTTGACGTATAATCAAGCAGAAAGACCCGATGTTCTAAGTATCGCCCAAGATCCATACCTCAACTATATAAAGAAGTGAATGAATTAAACCGAAACTTAGTGAAATTTTGTATAGTCGTGTAGCAACCGTTGTGTGTTTTGTTTTCTCTTTTGCTTGTTGGGTGTTCTTTTTAAACACCTTTCCAGNATCTTTTCTTCTGTAATTTTACTTAAATTACAGTGTTAAGCAAAATCACATGTTCTGCCATTTATCTTAAGGTTTGAAAGTGTGGATGAGTTACTTCTTTAGTTGAATTGAGCTTTGTTCATACTACTCCGATCATTCATGTTCCCTTTGATATTAGGCTAAGTTTTGGAACAAGTTAAGCTGACCTAAAGTGTATTATATGTTAGTTTTATCTCATTTTTTGAGTTAATCCTAAGGGCGCAATATAAATAAAATTGATTTTGATTGAATTTATTGATTAAGTTGAGTTAATTTTGAATAAAGTTGATTGGACAGAGGATTGAATGAGATTTTGAATTTATATTTAAATAATATTTAAAATATAATGATTAAAGTTGATACGATGAAAAAGTATGAGAGTTTATTTGAAATGATAGTTAAGAATATGCTAGATGATAAGTGAATTAAATTTGATTTAATGGTTGATAACCATCGATTGATATTATTTAATTATATTAACAAAATTGAGAAAAATTAAGTTGAATTAAATTTGAGTTGAATTTTGAATTAAAAAGTAAAAGAAATTATTCGATCACTCAAAATTTGATAATACTTGTAGCCAGTCGCGCTCTAAAAATTATAATAGTATCGGTTTTCAAGGGCTCTTTTGCAATTTTTTTTTTTTGGTACAGAAAAGGAGGCGAGTGCCTTAAACGACTACATTACGAGTGTAGGAAACCCCTAAGATGTCGTGCTTTAACACGGTTTCAGCCCCGTTGGAAGGTCATTGAAAATGTGAAGCCCGCACGGCATGGTTGCGGCCATGACTAACATTTAATGAATCTTGATAGCAAAGACATCCATGATCAGTCCTGCTATGGAGCCAACCGTTGGCTCTGTTGTGGAGCTAACTTGACTGAAAAACGGATTCTGAGAATCCATTTTTTAATTAAATTTATTTGAAAAACGGATTCTCAGAATTCGTTTTTCAGTCAAATTGGCTCCATAGCATTTCCATGACTAACTATATGTACCTAACAGTTGTTTAGATATACTATTTTTATAATTATGCATACTTTTATTTCTAATGTCATATTTAATGAAAACTCTTACAAAAAGTGATAAATTTACCCATTTTATTGTTAAGTTGACTCAATGCAGAATTTGTATATCTGCTAGAAGATATATGATGGTTTTCTAATAAAATTAAAATTTAAGGGAAAATCTCTGTTTCTAATTAAATCTTGTCCTTTGGTTATCTATATCAAAGTCATTTCTCTCACATTTTAATTATAGATCATATTTCCCGAATAATTTAAGAACAGACTAATATTTCAACTGGAAGTGAACTCAACGGAGATTGCCTTCTCATTATATGGATAGGTACAATTGTATTGCATTTCTTCTTGAGCAAACGAGTTGAGCCGAATGGAGTCGAGCAACTCAATGAGCCATGCCTTCTAATGATTGGCTCGACCTAATAAAGTTATTCCAATGCTCAATACAGTATCTGCTTGAATTTCTTTGGCTTGAGATTGATTCGAATTTAGGAGATTTTTGTTCGGATTTAGGTTATGTTTGGTTCAAAGGAGAGAAGGGGAGGGGAGGTGATTTAATGGAAGGGAGGAGAGGGGAGGGGAAGGGAGGGAATGTAATTTTACCTTGTTTGGAGGGATTTTGTAGGAGGGGAGGTGAAGGAAAATGATTAACCTTGTTTGGTTAGAAGATGAAGGGGGAGGGAAAATAAAATTACATGGACAAATATACCCTTACTTATGTTTTATTTATATTGGATAATTTAGTAATTATAATGAATTGATAAGAGCACATTAGTACAAAAAAGTGTAAGACTTAACTTCCCTTCCAAATCCCCCCAAAATTGGAGGGGAGCTGATTTTCCCTCGGGTGGGAGAATGGAGGGGAAAATTCTACTCCCCTTCCTTGCCAAAAGTTGAACCAAACAGAGGAAAATAAAAATATTCTTTCCCCTCCCTTCCCCTCCCCTCTGCTTCCCCCGAACCAAACACAGGGTTAGATAAAATTTAGCTTGAGATACACCTTTTAAAGGTTTTATTTTTTTATTTTTCGAAACGGCAACTACTTATATAAATAGAAAATTCAAAATGAGTACAGATAAATAGAAAATTCAAAATGAGTACAGACAGGAGTGTCAATTGACGCAAGGAACCAGATAATTGGACCCACCATCTTGAAATTTCAGAGGAATCCAAGAGGTACAATACCAAAGAAGGAGACAAACGCAAAAACAAAACGAAATTCCATAAAGGGAATAAAACTAGACAAGTTGGACTAACAAAAAAAAAAAAAAAACCAAAAAAAAAAAAAAAACGCATACGCCATTTTCCCACACGAGCTACTTCCATTAGCAAAGACACCCAACAAAGCCGTCAACCAGAACCTTGCGGCCACTCGTGTCGCCTAGTTGGTGACAGAAGGCAAGGGTTTTTTTGCCTTTCTGATTTGGGGATTTTAGCGGACAACTAAAGTTTGAACAGCTCGTCTGAGCACTTCACCTTACAAAGTACAAGCTCGAGCTTATCTCGAGTTTCAATTTCCCCATAAATCACAAAAAACGACCATCTCCCAAATCACGAGCAACAAAAACCCTGCAACCAGAAATAAAACCCTCCGAAAACCAAGAAAAACAAAACAATGCGCAATCTCACGGCCAAATCGCTCCTCCACTCCTCGACGCCATTGACGAGAAGGTACCTCTCAGCAATCCCTCATCTCCAGCCTCAGTCCTCGCCGCCGCCTCCTCCTCCTCCTCCTCCTCAAAACGACGCAGTTGAGAAAATCTACCGCATAATCACGACCTCGCCGGACGCCCAGTCCCTGAGGCGCTCCCTCATAGCATCCCGAATCCACTTTTCGAACGAATTGGTCGATGGGGTCCTCAAAAGGGTCCGCTTTTCCCACTCAAGCCCACTCCCCGCTTTGGAGTTCTACAGAATCACCTCGAATATCAATGGGTTTGTCCCCACACCCTTTTCCCTGGACACCGTGCTCTACATTCTTGGCCGGAACCGGAAATTCGATGAAATCTGGGTTCTTCTGTCCGAAATCAAGAGAAAAGATCGGTCCTTGATCACCCCAAGAACCGTTCAGGTCGTCTTGGGCCGGGTGGCTAAGGTCTGCTCGGTTAGGCAGACCGTCGAGTCCTTCAAACGGTTCCGAAGACTCGTCACAGATTTCGATGTCAGCTGTTACAACGCTTTGTTCAGAAGCTTGTGCCAGGAAAAGAGCATGAGTGACGCCAGGAACGTTTATCACGCCTTGAAGCGCGAGTTCCGGCCAAATCTGCAAACATTCAATATACTGCTCTCGGGCTGGAAATCGCCGGAGGAGGCCGAATCATTTTTCGATGAGATGCGGGACATGAGTATTGAGCCAGACATTGTGTCTTACAATTGCTTGGTGGATGTTTACTGCAAAAGCCGCGAAATGGACAAGGCGAATAAAGTCGTGAGTAAAATGAGGGATTTGGGTATTGATTTGGATGTGATAACATACACGATTTTGATTGGCGGGCTGGGATTGATCGGCCAACCGGATAAAGCCAGGGAGATTTTGAAGGAGATGAAGGAATACGGGTGCTATCCTGATGTGGCTGCTTATAATGCTGCCATAAGAAATTTTTGCATTGCGAAAAGATTAGGAGATGCACATAGTTTAATGGATGAGATGGTTGTAAAAGGGTTGAGCCCTAATGCCACAACTTACAATGTGATATTTCGGTCTTTGTATTGGGCGAATAATTTGAAAGCTTCGTGGGGTTTGTATTTGAGGATGAGGGAGGCGGGTTGCTTGCCGAACACTCAAACGTGCATGTTCTTGATTAGGTTGATGAGGAGGCAAGAGGAAGTTGGTATGGCACTTGAATTGTGGGGTGATATGATTGATAAAGGGTTTGGTTCGTTTGTGCTTGTATCGGATGTTTTGTTCGACTTGCTGTGTGTGTTGGGGAAATTGGACGATGCGGAGAGGTGTTTTCTGCAGATGGTGGATAAAGGGCAGAGGCCAAGCCACGTGTCGTTTAGGAGGATAAAAGTTCTCATGGAGTTGGCTAATAGGCATGAAGGGATTTCGAATCTGTCGGAAAAGATGGCGGCTTTCGGTTCTCGTTCTGGGGTCCAGATGGCGAGTTATGTGGATGAATTGGAAAAACCAATATCTGATTTTGTTTCCTGACAGAGT